TGCACCCGCCAAACCCGCTGTTTATGAATGAAAAACGGTTTACACACAACTCACAACTGTTGACGTCCGAACACTTCCGGAACAAGTGCTTCACTGACGACTTTTGTTCGAATCACAACGCTGTAAATGCTTCACCCACGTACTACAAATACAAATAATCGCCAACAGAACCTAAACCCCTAACCTAACCTATGTCTATATATGCACAATATGCTAATATATAATAATATTAATTTATATTTGAGAAAAGTGCTGTTTTGAATGAACACAATGTTAAAAATTGCTGAATGCGTCTGTGGGGTCGACCGCTGGATGGAATGGACTTGCTCCGAAGACGGGCTGCAGCCAGGTGAGATTCCGGAGGAAACGGGGTCCCACTAGTTACACAGCAGTGGCATTTAACACACTATTAATTATAAGGTGATAGCGTGTACCTGAACCTAATTGAAGCAGAGCTCTATAAGGGACGGGGGGAGGGCTTAGGGGAGGGAGGGAGGATAATGTCAAACTAATTATCTCGTCAAATTGATGATGTAACAAGGGCAGTCAACCAATTAAGAGCAGCAGGCCGTCAACTTAATGGCTTACACAGAAGGGTTGGGTAATTTGGCCATGTGTCAGTGTGGCACCTGTTGATATATGTAGGAGAATATGTGTGTTTGTTTGATAGGAACAGCTAGTAGTGCATATATGGGCAGGTGTATGTGTGTGTGTGTGTGTGTGTACTCACCTATTTTTTTGCTTGCGGGGATTGAGCTTTGGCTCTTGAGGACGGGTTGTGTGTGTGTGTGTGTGTGTGTGTGTGTGTGTGTGTGTGTGTGTGTGTGTGTGTGTGTGTGTGTGTGTGTGTGTGCGCGCGTGTGCGTGTGCGTGTACGTGTACGTGCGTGTGTCTTGCGTATAATGAGCGGCAAGGTAATCAATGTTTCATTCTCTTTCGAACGTTCCTCAATCTCCTGCCTTCTCCCCTATCCTTCCTATCCTAACCTGTTCCCTATCCTTTGGCATCCTTACCCCGTCCTCTGTCCTTCTTAGCCTGATCACTTACCTATTTCTTCTCCTCTTAGTCCATCCCCCTTAACCTTTCCTATTCTGAACAAATCTACAAGGGCCGTGACGAGGATTCGAACCTGCGTCCGGGAGCATCGTTCCTATTCTACCTTCTCGACCCCCCCCCCCAACATTCACCTAACCACACCTATCCTCTTCCTGACCTAACCTATCCCCTCTACACACGTTCTTGACCTTCCTCTCTTCTACCTCCTAGCCGCCCTGTGAGTCCAAGTCTGTGAGTCGAAGTCTGTGAGTCTTGGCTTCTGTGAGTCGAAGTCTGTGAGTCAGGGCTTCTGTGAGTCCAAGTCTGTGAGTCAGGGCTTCTGTGAGTCCAAGTCTGTGAGTCAGGGCTTCTGTGAGTCCAAGTCTGTGAGTCAGGGCTTCTGTGAGTCCAAGTCTGTGAGTCAAGGCTTCTGTGAGTCCAAGTCTGTGAGTCAGGGCTTCTGTGAGTCCAAGTCTGTGAGTCAGGGCTTCTGTGAGTCAGGGCTTCTGTGAGTCGTTGAGAGTACGTTCCCGCGGGCCGTTCAGTTCAAAGACTGAATATTGCCATTCATGTGTGCACGTTCACGAGGCGGGTACTGTTTGCCAGTCATGTGTGTGGATACTTCTCAGGTGTGGATACTGTCCAGGTGTGGATACTTCTCAAGTGTGGATACTTCTCAAGAGTGGATAAGGACTACGGAGATATATATATATCAAATGATAACATAACTCTCACATTAATATCATGGAATAATATGCAAATATTCTTCAAAAAGAATTTTGTGATTTATTCTTACAGGAAATTAAACCTATTTCTCTCGCTATGTCTTTGTCCGTCCGTCTGTCTGTCTGTCTAAGAGACAGTTGTGGTCCAATTCGTGAACTCGTTATGGTATAAAACACTTTTGATATATGCATTAAAGTGGGTAACTAGCTTACTAAGAGCGTAACTTGCTAGGCTAAATAAATTTTGGGGTTCAGTTCCCGAGCCCACATATGTCTAAATAAAGTGTGCTGTTTTAATAATAAAGTGTGTTTTATTATGCAGCACCACCCTTTGTTCGGTGATGTTGGCAAGCCTTGCTCAGTACGCCTGGCAGCGCCGCTCAGATTACCGTTATCTCGGGTCTACATCGCCGGCAGCGCGCCATATTCCAAACTATATTTTGAAACGTTTTAACTTCGTTTGAAGATTGGAAAACTTAAATTTCATGTAATTAACTCTAAGATAACAGCAAGAGAGAGAGATAACTACGGGAAAATCGCGTTTATGCTGATAAAAACCACATATGGAGGAAATGCAGTCTCAGTGGCGCATTGGTAACTCTCGGGCCGCATATTGCAAACAATTTGGCCTTGGTTCGTAGCCTGGCCGGGGAGGATTGACTAGGCCAATCCTTAACTATATGCCTCTGTTCACCCAGCAGTGATTGGATACCTGGTTGATAAACGATAGGCTTACCGTGAGCAATTAGAAGGGAAAGCTATAATAAAAAAATATGAAGCAGCTTGACTCAGACGGGTCTAAAACCTGTACCGGCGTCAACATTACAACGTCATAATGACGTCACACACCGCTTCTACTCTGTTTAAAACACAAAATATTATCACTTATTTTCATTACATTAGGTTGAATTGGGTTGGGATAGGATATAATAAGTTGCGCTAGGTTAGGATAGAATAGGTTGGGTTGGGTTAGGTTTGTTAATATGCTAGCGATGACGTAGAGGGCTACATGTTTCTTGCCAGGCGTTAGAGCATATTCTAGCCTTTCGGAGAATCCAGCGTTGCCAGCTCTCCGTCAAATGTGGGCGGGAAAACGAACGTATTACATGAAAATGTGTTTAATAATGCTGTACCTGTAGTCTTTCTCGACCTCGTTGTTCATATTATACTGATATATATTCAACCGTGTAACTAGCTTGCCAAGATTGTAACTTGCTTAGCTAAATGAATTTTGGGGTTCAGTCTCCCTTTCCGGCACCGCCCACGGATTGGGTATGGGGCCCACTACCGCCCACGAGATGGGTATATGGGTCCCACTACCGCCCACGGGATGGGTAAATGGGGCCCACTACCGCCCACGAGATGGGTATATGGGGCCCACTACCGCCCACGAGATGGGTATGGGGTCCACTACCGCCCACGAGATGGGTATGGGGTCTACTACCACCCACGAGATGGGTATGGGGTTCACTACCGCCCACGAGATGGGTATGGGGTCCACTACCGCCCACGGGATGGGTATGGGGCCCACTACCGCCCACGAGATGGGTATGGGGTCCACTACCGCCTACGAGATGGGTATGGGGTCCACTACCGCCCACGAGATGGGTATGGGGTCCACTACCGCCCACGAGATGGGTATGGGGTCCACTACCGCCCACGGGATGGGTATATGGGGTCCACTACCGCCCACGAGATGGGTATGGGGCCCACTACCGCCCAAGGGATGGGTATGGAGTGCATAATTAATCAACTAACCTAAGTAACATTGTCAGTAACGCGTGACAAAACTACATATTATCTACGTTATATGTACTAAAGTTACGAAAACCAGTCAAGTCAACAACAGTCTTAACACTAATGTTCACCAAATATCCTTTTTATCCATAACGACATATTGCCTAGACAACAGACTTGGGATAGTGCCCAAATATCCCAAGTTTGTCTTATCTTCTTTAGATGATTTGGGGCTTTAGTGTCCCCGCGGCCCGGTCCTCGACCAGGCCTCCACCCCCAGGAAGCAGCCCGTGACAGCTGATTAACACCCAGGTACCTATTTTACTGCTAGGTAACAGGGGCATAGGGTGTCTGTTGCAGATAACGCACAGATTGCAAGCTTCACTATCTGCAAGTCTCCTGCGTATCTCATAGTCTTGCTCCATTAAAATAATAATAATAATAATAACTGTAATATTTTTGTTTTATAAATATTACATTTGAGAACATGATTCAGTGAAGTATACTTAATATAAAATGTGAATTACATAAAGTAATTAATATGAAGAAGGTTTCAGATATATAATTTATCTCACTTGTAACTTTCTCATATATTTCATTAAAATAATATTGCGTAGTACACTACAAAAGTAAGTTGGTTAGGCTATGGAAACACTTGGGGTTCCGTTCTTGGCTCATTATCAGACTGTAACCTTTACGTTAGTTAATCTAGAACTAATCACGCTGCTGATTTGTGAACTATGTAACTAGCTAATCACTTGGTTAGGTAAGTGAATACTGGAGTACAGTTCCTGGACCGACTGTCGGCATGTGTGTGGCCTTCCCATCACCGCTCACACACTCCTTATGGCCGCCATAAGAAGTCACTAAACTACTTACCCATAATTAATAATTATTTTTGGTTATAATTGCCTTACCCAAGTTCCAATTATGCCCAAGTCCCAACACTGTATTAGTACTATGAAGGATTTTTGTTCCTAGACAATATATATATATATATATATATATATATATATATATATATATATATATATATATATATATATATATATATATATATATAAGTAGGTATACATATTCATCATACTTTGAGTATCCGCCAATATATGTATTGGCGGATACTCAAAGCCAAGTACAATCTGAAGCCAGACTGCAAGAGTCTAACTTCTCTTTATCACGTTTTCTATAAAACATAAACCACTTAACACCAGTAGGATCTAAAACCTGAAACGACATTAAGATTATGACGTCCTAATGATGTCACATACCTCCTGCCCATACTATATAAACTACAAAAATTTATATTTTCCTTAGGTTAGATTAAGCTAAGTCAGATTCAGTCGGGTTAGGTTCGATTGGGTTAATTAGGTTACGTTAGATTGGGTTAGGGTAAATTGGTTAATGGAATAGCGATGACGTAGAGGGCTGCACACTTCGATCCGACCTTAGACCAGACTTATTTGAACACGTGCGAGATAACGGAGTGAACGGCAACACTGTAGGAACAAGATAGCCTGTTAGTCGTTTCCTGACACTACAAGGGGGTGGTGCTGTAGCCTCGCGCACCCTCCTGTGAATTTGTAAAATTACTGGCCACAGACTTTTCAAATAAGCTGAAGGAGCTGCGAGTTAACAGTTATGTGAATAGTGATGTGCTGGGAACAGATGTGAACAGAGATGTGCTGGGAACAGATGTGAACAAAGATGTGCTGGGAACAGATGTGAACAGAGATGTGCTGGGAACAGATGTCAACAGTGATGTGCTGGGAACAGATGTCAACAGTGCTGACGTAGAGTCTGCCCTAAACAGCTGTGGCAGAGACTGGGATATTCACGTTCTCTTCTACCTTCGTCTGAGGTGAGCGAAGATGTCGTCCTCTACAGGGCCATCTGGGGACAACCGACTAAACTACGCCAGGAAGGTGAGGTTCGTCATGACCATAGGTCAGCACATCATCTACAAAGTCTACCTCTGGCTGTACCAGGGCGGCGCCACCCCCTTATTCCAGTATCTGGAGACTCAAACTAAGAAATTGACTGGCTTTGAAGGCCTCGAAATTGAAGCCATAAAAAATGGACATATTCAAAGCATGGACATTAAGCTGCTCTATAAGGTGGTACAGAGGACTTGTGGACTGGCCTCGAAAGACGAAGCCTGGTACAAAAAGGCAATATCGGCAAAGGACATGAGTCTGGAACAATCATTATACAAGCTCAAAAGTGAACGCAATAACCTATCACACCCAGGTAGCCCCGAAACGTTTATCAAAGTGTCTGATAGCAAGCTGAACGCCTATATGACGGAGTTGAGGGCTCTCTACACTAGGATACTCGAACTGGCCGGCAAAAAAGGAAGTGTGAAACAGAGGGATGTGGACACAGCAGTAAAGACAATCGAGAAAGAACTTGAGGATGAACGACACTCGGAGTCTGGTATCAACGACAGCCAGTTTCTGGACTTAAGTCTACAGGATCTGGAGAAATATGCGCATAGTTTCAAATCCGTTGCGTCCGAATACGTGGAGGTGCGCCTCGCATTGGAGATCCAGAAGAATCATAACCCTTCAGAGATCCCTCTCAAGGATCTGCTAGGCCAAATTTGTAAAGATGGCTCCAAGCCTAAGGTGATAATTGTGGCGGGAGAAACCGGTGCGGGCAAGACTTCACTCTGCCAGTAAGTTCAAAATGTTGTTTCAGTTGACCAGAAAGTTATGAATAGGTTTCCATAGCAGTACGGAAGTGCTGTCTTCTCCAGAACATAGTCCACGACTAATATCAACTCTCAGTGTATATACGCCGAGAAGAGGGATATACACCTCTCTGTGTATAAACCATGATGCCATAGGTAATATACGTTAGCAATGTATTATGCTCATGGGGAAACAAATGAATCTTGGCATGTTTTTATCTGAATTAAATTATCAAGTTCTTCTATCAAGTTCACCAAAGGAAACTTAACAAATATTTGTTTACCGTAAATAGATGTGAATTTATATATTCTAAAATAATTAAAACTTCTGTGTTGTTGTTGTTGTTAAAGATTCGCTACCTGGAACAAAAAGTTCCAAGTAGCACGGACTATGGTGAGCCCGTGAACTTCTGCGTAAATAGAACATAACCAGTTTATATTGATAGTTTAACTCAGTCGACAGAGAGATTTAAAACAGTTTTAATCCATGCTCTCCAGAGCTTAAAGACTATATTTTGTCCAGAGAAAATCAGTGATGAAAACAAACGTAGAGTATATTAATTGTTAAATATCCCAAAACTTGTATTGTACCTTTAAAAATTACATTAAAAGGTATATTAAAAGTACTTTAAATGCATTTAGTTTAAAAGTACTTTTATATTAAATGAAATGTATGAAAGTACTTTTAGTACTTCAGTTTTAAAACTTAACATAATAAAACAATTAAAAAATAAACTAGTTTGACCGTCGAGTGAACATTTTAGACATTCTTAAGTCACTTAAATTTTGTAACATTGTGGCAGTTACGAATTTTGATATAAAAAAAATTCTTTGAATAAAAATTCTCTAACTGCAATGGGTATTTTTTCAAAATCCATTGTAAATCTTGTAATAAATTAAATGCTTAACAAAACCAACAAACACCTGAATAATAATAAAGTGAGAATTCATATACATTGTCTATTCATTTGAGATATTCAGACCTTCCAGATATATGGATTAATTCTCTCACAATTACTTAATGTAAATCGTTTATTGAAAAAAATAAAAATTTTATTTGATTAAAAGTAGTGAATTTTGTAATATAAGCCTAATGTTGATAGATTCCTAACCGGTAGCTTATGGATGGGATGGGGGGGGGGGGGTCGGGCGAAGCTTGTACCCGTGAGGACGGGGCGCGCGGACTGCCACACCGCTCACTCCCTGACCTGGTACAGTGGCTGGGCCAGATACAGTAAAGTGTGCCTACGAAGGCTTGATCTACGTCGGCCACACACACACACACAACGACCCGCCACCAGCGACCACATATTGATGAGAGTCAACAAACCGTTGTAACCTGACTGTGAACGGTGACTGCATTGACTGTATGATCCCACTAAGGCGGCTCCGTATTGTTATTGATGTTAAATCTAATATATTGATTTCCCTTCTGGTTAATAACATTGTTATATTGACAAGTATTTACTTGTATAAATGTTGTTTATTAAAGAGGTAATTTTTCTTGTAGCAATTTAAAGGCAGTAATTGAGTATATAAAATTATATACTTATTATGGGCATATGAATCGAACCAGCGTCCCTCGACTTCCCAGGCACACGCACTACCGACTGAACCATGATGCGCTAAAAAGTATCTGAACCGAAAGTACTACCAAACTTGTTATGTACCATCCGGTACCACATTCCAGATGGTAGCACGTGTGTCTGAGGGGTCCAGGGACGCGGGTTCGAGCCCACAGCATGGTTCCCTTATCATGGTCCAGTTGGAAGTGCATGTGTTACTAGAACTTCAAGTGAACTACAGGATCCAACCTACGTCATCTGAAAATAAAGGGAGTGGCGACGTTTCGGTCCGTCCTGGACCGAAACGTCGCCACTTTATTTATTTGCAGATGAGTGGGTTGGGTCTGTAATTTTGAGCCACGTTATTGTGACCTGTAGTCTATATACAAGGTTATTGGGGAAATATGGAATATATTACTCACTCTTTGTTCGAAGAAGTAGTTATATAACCAATTATTTGATTATTTTATAGTTATCAATTGCAGCAGGTCACTTGCATCAGCATTGTTAAATATTTGCATAGTGCATTCCTTGCAGGTATGTGATGACCTCGTGGCTGTCTTCGACGACGACGTTGGTGAACCTGGACCAGTACCAGCTGGTCATCACCTTCCACTGCGGCAGTGTCAACACCCGCGACCTCAACTACCTCCTCTCCTCCAAGATTTTGCCCTTAGCCACACTTGCCTGTGATTCCGGCGCCCTGACGCGGATCATGACGAGGCTGACGGTGCTCTGGTTAGTGGACGGATGGGACGAGGCGACGCAGGAAGCAAGAGCTCTCCTGGAGGAGCTCTTCAACAAGTTATCTCTTAGAGATAACCAGCAGCCGCTACACACTGTTCTCATAACCTCCAGACCGGAGCTTAGTGCAGGGCTCACAGCCGACGTCGTCCGCACCGACAGGCTTCTGAGAGCCTCACTGCTTGGTCTTGATAGTGGTGAGAAAGAAGAGTTCCTGAAGAGAAAGGAATCTGAACTCGACAGCAAGGGAAGTAAGAGATCAATTTCCACCTTCATAGAACACATGGCAAGTTTAAGAGGACTAGTTCTTGTAGAGTTGAAGAACCCTCTGAAGCTCCTGCTGATGGCCAGACTGTGGTGCGAAAACACTGAGTTTCAACCTGAAAGTTCCCTAATTAAGCTGTATATGAATATTAAGGATACACTAATTAAACAGCTTGTTGATAAACTTCGAGCAACAGCAGCGCCGGCTGATCACGATGCACAAGAGTTAATTGAAAAATGGTTCAGGTGTTTCTGTAAGGTGGCCTTCAACTCTGTGAAAGATGCTCCTGTTTTGAGACTTGACCCTCGAGATCTGAAGCAATTAAAGGAAGAATGCCGTGACGTGAGAGAATCTCCCTGTCTCTCCACTTTCCTTACACATCATCCGGGTTCTAAAGGCAAAGGTTATTACAAGTATCTACACTATTCTGAGCAGTGTTTCTACGCGGCTCTTCACGTGACCTCCACGTGTTCACAAGCCCAGGATCCCCAGGCTGAAATGAACGACATTTTTGACGCACACATCCGGGAGTCTGATAGATATATTAACCAATATCTTGGCATCTTCGATATATTCAACGATTTTCTAATCTTGTTTATGATAATTGTATCTAAACTGAGCTTTGGATGGATCTTTTCTTGTATGAAAAGTAAGGAATTATACAAGAAACTTCTACAAGTGATTCGAAAACTTATTAACTTAGTTTCCGGAAGGTACTCGACTCAGAACACCGCCCATGACGACTCGAATATTAACAAGTATCACGCAGTATTGCTGCAGTTGTTGGAGATGCGCGCTCTTAAATACTTCACAGCAAATATTCCGGCCGCGTGTCTAGGTAACTTGCTGTTTCTGTCGCTGAATGAAGAAGGGGACCCGATTAAATGGTTCCAAGTCTTACATAGTTGCCATTACGAAGAAGATCTGGTAAGGGAGGTGGCTCGCAGAGTCGACATGAATTTATGGAATGTTACGGATGGGGATCTGAAGGCTGCGTGGGCTCTCTTGCGTCTTGTGACTCCCAAGGAATTAGTCCTCAACATCATGGGAGACCCGAAGGAGCTACTTGATCTTCCTGTACTTCTCTTATTAGTTGCCGAGAGGAGAGTAAAGGTGCGCCTTTTTATCCGCTGGCATTACGGAAGCTGTGGCTTGAAAGATTCATCTGACGAGTACTTAAGTCTCCTGTGCGACGGTACAACCAAGTGCTCGATGGTGTCTTTTATGGGGCACCTGAGCAGCTCCAGCATCTCAAGCCTGACGCACGCCTCCTGGATGAAACATTTGTCTCTCAGAGTCACAGATGATCACACGGTTGATGCTCTGTGCTCCGTCACACACAAGCTGAGACGCTTACAAGCCCTAGACTTAGTGTATGACCTCCGCAAATATACCACCCCTTGCTCTTCTTTAGACGGGTCGTTCGGCATTTTGAAGTTCATAGACAGTGCCCTAGGCGGGTTAACGCTTCAAGGCAGCACATCCCTGAATGTCTCGCTTACTCTGCCTCACCTGCCGGGTTCTCTGGTGACACGAGCAGTGGATTTTATCTCTGGCCTCAGTTCACGTTACAGGATCCTGAGCGTCAGTCGCCTGGACCACAAGGAAGTGAAGAAACTCCTCGTCGGGTTGGAAAACAAGCACGTATGTGTTGCTAACCTCATCAAACCTGTCTTCTTCAAGCAAATAGATAGTTACATCCCAGTGTCGATCTGTTCACTTCCTCTACAGGTTCCTTTGAAAGATGTGGTCCAGACGTGGCACGACATAGACAAAAATCCTCCCGACATACTCATGAGGATTAACATGAGTTAAGAAGTCGGAAATTTTGTGAAGCACGCGTGTGTCTACCACTGGGACCTCACGACCGTAGCTCTCATCCTGTAACTGCACTCAGGTAATTATACTGTGAATTGTTTTTGGTGTTGTTCTGCAACTGCTTAGAGATACAAGCCAATCACAAGACATGTTTCAGTGAACAGAAACCTAGCAGTGAAAGTTGTGACTCGAGACAACACGTGAGACACTTGTGTCTTGCTCGATACAATCCCTTCTGTAAACTGTTGTATTCAATGATTGTATTTATATTTTAATATATAAAACTGATTCATCACTCTTCGTGATTTTAATGTCCTTGATACTAACATTTCTTCTGAAGGTTGATGTGTTTTGTACTCCAATGTTGTTATTAAAATATTAAGATACATGGCCCCTGGATTCAGCAAGTATTTATAGAGCTGCATACGAAACCTTTACATCTTTTCTCAAACTTTAGCAGCTTGGTTTACATTTAATGAGCAGTTCATGAGCTCCGATGTACCAAGAGGCTGTTTATAACAATAATGACGTTGACTGGGACGTTGCGATGTACAGATTTCGTAAGTACTTGTGTAAGTGGTTCACTTATACACTGTCCTGGGCTCCCCACTTTAATTTTATCGATTAACATAAAACCATTTTCGAAGTAGATAATATGTCACAGTAGTGCCTCAAAAACAGGCAGAGGGACTTAAACTTATCACTTTCTTTATTTCCAAGTGTGTGTGGGTTTGAGTTTTTAATTGTCAAATTTAGCGATTGCTTTTTCTTATGAGTTTGTCGATGGTAACTTCGATTCGACTTACAGTAGCTGGTGTCAGGAAGCCTCAGTAGTTCCGAGAACGACACCGAGCTGTTGGTGTCAGGGGCGACAGGAGGAGCTGGTGTGGTGGTGACTGTTCTTCAAGGACTACCTCTTGCAGGATAGTCCAGGTGGTGAAGGACTACCTCTTGCAGGATAGTCCAGACTATCCTGTTGTGGGGGGCGGCCTCCCCCACCACAACACGGTGTGGGGAGAGAGGAGGACACTTGTCACTCAGTATACCAAGCGGATCCCATTGGTATACACCATTGGTATACTCCCATTACACCTGCCTCAACAGATAGTTCTTCATTAGGGCATTCCTGAGTCTGCTGACTGTCACCATAGACAATCACCTTTGACCAAAAACGCTGGAACTAAAAGCACATTACTGTCCGAGGACACTCATGGTGTTACGAGATAAGCCAGTAGGGGGGCCTAGCAAGCATAACTGATTAGGGTGGGCGTGTCATCTTTTCCGGACGATAATAATCTTATTTAGTGGCTTGTCTCCCCCTTCCCCGGCTCGACCCACCTGTCACTGACCAAACTGGGCAACTCTTTCGCACAGGAGATGTCAAGAGCATGGGGGTTAGGAAGTGACAAATGTACTTTTTGTATTTCATGCTGCCAGCTGAAGTGTCGGCGTCACAGTGTCGGAGTTACAGTGTCGGCGTCACCCTGTCGGCGTTACGGTGAAGTGAGGTCACTCACTCTACTTGCCAGACAATGATGACGCCTTCGTGGTTTCTACTCACCGAAGCAGCATCTTAAATTTTCCCTCCAGTAACCAAATATTAATGCTCTCTCTCTCTCTCTTTTTCTCTGTCTGTCTGTCTGTCTGTCTGTCTGTCTCTCTCTCTCAAACATCATCACTTTCGTAAAATAACAATATAACCATCCTCTCTGTTTGCAGGACTGCCATTTTCTCATGGGGATTTTAAAACCATGCTGAGAGATAGAGAGCTCTCTCTCACTCACGGACCGAGACACATGCAGATGGCGAGGAAATGGAAAGTCTCTTTTTTCTTATCTGTCATGACGTTATCGCGGCCAGCAAGGAGCAGATAAGAGTTTTGTGACGCATTAGACGAGCGACCCACCTGTTGCACTCCCAGTGTTGTGGACGCCAGTGCAAGGCGGTTCTGAGACGGACGCCCTGTTGCAGGAGATAGAATGCCTCTTGCAGAATAGTCCAGGAAGACGACTCGCTATTGCAGGATAGTCCAAGTGGAGAAGGACTGCTGTTCAAGGATAGTTCAGGAGGAAAAGGACTACCTGTTGAACGATAATTCAGGACTACCTGTTGCAGGATAGTCCAGGAAAATGACTACCTATTGCAGGATAGTCCAGGAAAATGACTACCTATTGCAGGATAGTCCAGGAAAATGACTACCTATTGCAGGATAGTCCAGGAAAATGACTACCTATTGCAGGATAGTCCAGGAAAATGACTACCTATTGCAGGATAGTCCAGGAAAATGACTACCTATTGCAGGATAGTCCAGGAAAATGACTACCTATTGCAGGATAGTCCAGGAAAATGACTACCTATTGCAGGATAGTCCAGAAGGAGGACTCTCAAATACAAAACTATCAGGGACCGTTTGCAAACAACATGAAAACCTTCCTATCTCCCTTTCTCTCTCCCTCTCTCTTTCTCTCCATCTGTTATTGTAATACATTAATTATTACCGTTTCCAGTGTCTCTGATATTTTCTGGCGATATTATTGTCATATTTCAACAGATAATGTTGTGAGGTCGGCCGCATGAGGAGCGACTGTGAGGCCAGGCACCTCACAGCGGCCGCCCTGGCTCTCCCAGATGGCGCAGGAGTCATCACTGACGGAACCAGAACATCTTTCCCGCAATAACGACGGCCGTTTTCATTTATTAAAGAGTTTGTGAGCTCTGAAGCGCCACGAGGTGATCCAAGCTCGAAACCTATTTAATAAATGTAAAGAAAACAGCCATGATTCAGGAAAGATAAGTATAGGATGTAAAGGTTTCGGAAGTGATTGCTTTAGATGGGGCTGGGTGGAATGCCGATACTGAGAGGTTAATCTTCGGTACATCTATTTCCTCTCTCGATAGATTCATGATAGACAATGTTACATTTTATTTCATCATATTTTACACCTTTCTTTTCCTTCTATATATCTATGGAATATCTTCCCTTCCTCCTGATTCTTTCATATTTATAAGGGTAGAAAATTAGAAAGTATGGGAGAGTAAATGAGGAATAGAAAGTCTGAGGCTCCAAGGCTCGTATTCTATATTTTTCTTGCTTTTCCATTTCTTTACTTTCTTTTGTTCTCATTATATTCTTATCTTTACTTTCTTTCATTCTCATTATTTCTTATCTTTACTTTCTTTTGTTCTCATTATATTCTTATCTTTACTTTCATTCTCCTTACTTTCTTTTCTTTCTCTTGATTTCGCTCTTTACTTATCTTCCTTTTGCTTCAGCTCTCTTTATTATCGTTATCTTACTTTTCCTCTTTATTTTACCTTTCTCCTACTTTCTCCTACTTCTCTTACGCTATGAACTTTATTGAAAACACCCATTTACCTAATTTTGCTTTCTCTTATTTTATCTTGTCTAACCACTTGGGCTGGACGGTAGAGCGACGGTCTCGCTTCATGCAGGTCGGCGTTCAATCCCCGACCGTCCCACAAGTGGTTGGGGGCACCATTCCTTTCCCTCCGTCCCATCCCACATCCCTATATCCTGACCCCTTCCCAGTGCTATATAGTCGTAATTTAGTGTTATTAACAGTTTATTTTTTTTGTACTTTGTTTATTTTCTCTACAAAATCATGGTATTTTTGGTGGCGTTAGTGGCTTGGCAACGGGGAGGAAGGCGTTATTGAGGCGGCGTCACTAACGGGCCGCTAATTGCTTCGGTTTTCAGCTAATTGGGTCCCGCTGACCACTGTTACTGAAGAAGGGGGAGGGAGTGGGGGGGGGGAAGAAAGAGAAAGAAAGAAAGAAAGAAAGAAAGAAAGAAAGAAAGAAAGAAAGAAAGAAAGAAAGAAAAGAAAGAAAGAAAGAAAGAAAGAAAAAGAAAGAAAGAGAGAGAGAGAGAGAGAGAGAGAGAGAGAGAGAGAGAGAGAGAGAGAGAGAGAGAGAGAGAGAGAGAGAGAACGAAAAATGGATATGCAGAAGGGGGGAGGGAGGGAGAGAAAGAGTGTAGAAGGGAAGAAGAGAGGAAGAGAAGAGTAAGTAAGAATGATGGAGGAGAGCGGATGGACAGGGAGGAATGACCAGAATAATGAAACTAGACATGGGATGTGGTAGAGAGGGAAGGAGGGAGAGGGAAGCACCGAGACAAAGAGATAGAGAGGGAGGGAAGCAACAAGGGAGAGGTAGCGAGAGGGAGACAGGAAGGAAGGGAGGGAGAGAGGGAGAGCGGACACGCAGTCATGATAGAGCTGAAAGAGAAAGAGAAGGTTATACTCCCTTGTAGGTGAGATGGATGATGTCTTGGCTTTTTAACACACAAACCATGATATTAGTGTGTGAGAGTGAGTGAGTGAGTGAGTGAGTGAGTGAGTGAGTGAGTGAGTGAGTGAGTGAGTGAGCGAGCGAGTGAGCGAGTGAGTTTTGCTCTTAACAGCCCTAACACTAACGACATATTTGATCACATGTGTATTTTGCACATTTGACCATTGCCTCGTTTATTGTCATTTACCCTAAATATATCACGGGTCAACGGTATTATTCTGGCAGTCTTCAACCACCTTCAAATATCTTCAACTATCTTCAACTACCTTCAACCACCTTCCAACCACCTTCAACCGCCTTCAACCACCTTCAACCACCTTCCAACCACCTTCAACCGCCTTCAACCACCTTCAACCACCTTCCAACCACCTTCAACCGCCTTCAACCACCTCCAACCACCTTCAACCACCTCCAACCACCTTCAACCACCTCAAACCACCTCCAACCACCTTCAACCACCTTCCAACCACCTTCAACCACCTTCAACTACAGTCTGCCCAAACTGCGACAAAGTTTGAACCAACTTTTCTATACCTTGTGGAGGAATAAGAAATCTCCCACAAAAATAAAACTTTACTACTCTGGGACAAAAACTTTGTCCCATTGTGAATTATTGTTGTGGAATGTAATTGTTTTGTGCTTTATTTGTATGGGTGTTCTTCATGTATATTATTTTGGGGGTTGCCAACTGGTTCCGGCTCAACTGACCTGGTCATATCTCTCTTCTGACCTGGTCATATCTCTCTTCTGACCTGGTCATATCTCTCTTCTGACCTGGTCATATCTCTCTTCTGACCTGGTCATATCTCTTCTGATCTGGTCATATCTCTCCTGACCTGGTCATATCTCTTCTGATCTGGTCATATCTCTTCTGATCTGGTCATATCTCTCTTCTGATCTGGTCATATCTCTTCTGATCTGGTCATATCTCTCTTCTGACCTGGTCATATCTCTCTTCTGACCTGGTCATATCTCTCTTCTGATCT